GCTTGTTACTCCTACACTTTCAGAGTTGTCGTGCTTCTTTGCGGCGCTAACATCGACACGGCGATTCTTGGTCGTTGCTTGGAACGTGGTCTGGCCGAAGACGGTAGACTGATCAACTTTCAGATTACGGTCAGCGACAGACCCGGTGGTACGGCAGAAATCACCCACTTGCTCATGAAATCGGGCGTATCCATCAGAGACATTTTTCACGAAAGAGCATTCCTGAAATCTGACGTGTTTTCCGTCAGGGTAAGCAGTGCCGCCGCCATTTTAAACATTCAGAACAGCAAAGATGTGTTTTTGTCACTGATTTTACAGGTGGCGCTTTTGTACCATATACCGAGATACGGTAGGATGGGGTCAGGTAAGCTGTGATAGGCAAGACAGGTTAGATAAGGTTAGCTTTCGTGCTTGCTCGAAGGCCCAGTGGAACCCATTTACGAGTGAGGAAGATTTCGCGCAGCGACTTAGTACGTATCACCTCACTTTAGCGGTGACGGGTTCAAATCCACGCACGTCGCTTAAATTTTCCCTCATTAACCGGTGATTCCCTTCAGAAAAGAAGTGACCTCACTGTGCTGTGTTGCAATCAGCCAACAAGCTGTCGCAAGTCTTTCACCAGGTCACTATTCTAGTTTGGTCATTGCACAATGCATGCAACTATCCTATCAGATGTTTGCGCTTAGGGCTAAAATTCGCTCTAAGCCAACTGATAGCTGAATGAAAATTAGGACGAACTGGACGGTAAATAAGTGTAAAAAAGGAATGTTTATAAGCCATGTGGCTAATTGTTTATATCCGTGAAAATGCAATGGCTACGAGTAAGACTAGTGCACTGGAGACCGGGTGTCATGGCACCCCTGTTCAAAAAGGATGGCCATTGGGAGTGCTCCGATTATGACTGCGATTTTGTTGAGCCGCCAGGGAAAGTCTATGCAAAGATGTTTTAAAAAACGTTTTGCGCAATAACTGGCTCTTAGAAAAAACAACAATAGCGTGGCTTCAAAACTAATATCTCTCGTATCAGCTTTTCGCCCAGAATGTAGAAAAATTATTGAGGTTTGCTCCTCCAGCATATGGGATCGATGTCTAATTGACATGTGCCATCCAGTCACTGAATCTTGATGCTGCGTTATCGTAAATGGCGCTAAGGAGGCTCCTTTCAGTGGTGGCACTGGTTTCCTCCAAGTGTGTCCCCTCTCCTGTTTGTATTGTGCATGCATAGAATGGACAGACGACGAGTACATCAGCGTAGGACATGTAACTAAAAGATGTTTCTTGTGTGCAGACGATCTTGACTGTTTTCATCTTCTGAAATTGATCTTTAGCGCTCTCCGGAAATGTTAGCGTTTTTATGAAACGTGGCCGCGTGCGTCTGAAAGTGTCTAAGGCCAAAAGCCCAGTGTTTTTCGTTCCCCTGCCAGCTGCTCTCCTCAAATAAACGGAGAAGAGTGGAGCAAGTGAAGAGGTTCAAGTACCGCAGGGTCGTGTTTAGTAGTGA